CCAGATATACTAAACGAATTTCAACAATGCAAGGAAAATCATTGAAGAAGAAAAACATAAATCATGGGAACAATATGCATCCTCAATAAATAAAGACACACCAATAAAAGACATCTGGAATAAAATTCGCGCCATATCAAAAAAAAAGTTCATCATCGGCCAGGACCTGGGCGATCAAAACAGATAACGGTCCCATCACCAACCCCACCGACATCGCAAATCATCTAGCAGATCATTTCTACAAAGAATCCTCGAACGAAACGTATCCACACCAATTCTTACAGAAAAAACAGAAGGAAGGAAAAATCCCAATCATATTTAAAACACAACGAAATTTAAAGATCGACAAAGACTTCTCCATGACCGAATTACTATTCCAGCTAGATAGACTCACGGGAACATCACCCGGACCTGATGAAATTCACAACTCTATGCTTCAGCATCTACCGTTCTACATCAAGCGTAAACTATTAGAAGCCTACAACATTTGGAAAAACGGTCCGTTCCCGGAAATTTGGAGAAAATCTATACTGGTTCCAATACCGAAACCCGGAAAATGTCCCAACACTCCAGACAACTTAAGACCGATACGTCTTTCAAGCTGCATTCTTAAACTGCTCGAGCGAATGGTAAACAGACGACTCATGGCTCATCTTGAGAAAAATAAAGTATTGGGTAAAGACCAATTTGGCTTCCGCAAAGGTCATCAAACCAACGACGTGATAGCCTACATTGACAACTTCGGAAGGCATGCAATGCTGAACAAACAGCACGCGGAAATCATATTCCTGGATCTACAAAAGGCCTACGACAGGACATGGCGCAGCCTTATCATAAAAAGGCTCACTAAGGCACATGGCCAAATTCTGCTGTTCGTTCCTGGAACGACGGACATTCGAAGTCCAATACGAAGGGCAACTATCTTCTCCCAAAGTTCAAGAAAACGATGTTCCACAAGGATCAGTGTTTGCAGTTACATTCTTTTTACTCGCAGTCGACAGTATCAAAAATTTCTTGCCAAAAAATACCAAAGGTTAAAAAGATCATTAAAGGCATCGAAAAATGGTGCGACGACACAGGTTTCAAAGTTTCAGCGCCCAAGTCGGCTATAATGCATATTGGCAGAAGAAGAAAACTAAAGAAACAAGTTACCCCAACGCTCGGCTCAGAAGAAATCAATTTAACCAAACACCACACATTACTGGGAGTCTGGATCGACCAGAACCTCAATTACAACTACCATATAAAAATTATCAAAGAAGATACAAAACGTCGACTCGACATCATGAAATGTTAAAGCAAAACCAAGTTTGGTGCCGATAGAAAATGCCTATTACATATTCTTAACATGGTAATTCTTCCAAAACTTATTTACGGAGCTCCAGTCTATATAAGCTCAGACAGATAAAAAGCTGCAAAATTAAACCCGATATACCACCAACGTATACGATATGCTACGGGAGCCTTTCACTCCAGTCCAATTGAAAGCATAATATCAGAAAGCGGCCTTCTCCCCTTGGACCTTATATTTGCAAAACAAACAATAAACTACTCTACGAGACAGCTTGCGCGAGGAATTCTGAACCCAGAACTCTACTTCTCCAAAAATATTCAAAATGAGCTACAAATTCCAACAATGGCCATTGAAGAAGAGGATCCAACTGCACCACTGGCCTGGGAGGAACTAGATTGCCGAATAAATATGGATATCCCAGAAAGACTTACCCCTGCAGCAAAACAATCTTACTTCAAAGAACTTTGCTGCAACGAATACCCCCACCATCGAGTGTACCCCATTAGGCATAAATACGTTAGGCATACGGACGTTAGGCATACGGACGTTAGGCATAATGGACGTTAGGCATAAAGTCATTAGGCATAATGGACGTTAGGCATAATATACGTTAGGCATAATGGACGTTAGGCATAAAATACCTTGCTGCTGTGCAACTCTAGAAACCTGCTTAACCTGTAAACCTGTAAACAATGCTTAAATTAGGCTTAGCGTTGAATAAAAAATGATACAAGTTAAACAAACATAGTTTATTTAATAAGCATAGTTTGGAATCCATTATTTATCATATCATAAGTGACGTATCTACATATTTACTTAGATCCATGATTAGTAGCGATAGTGGTTAAGTAATCTTACATTGAAAACTCAGCTTAGTTTTGAACTATATCTTGAAATCAATCGCATCTAGAAATAAAAAAATCACACATTTGTTGTAATATATTCTTACACATATATTGCAAAAGTCAAAGAAGAAAAGGTTTTCCTCAAAGAACAGCTCATGAAATAAAGAATGGTGAATTCTGTGATTTTTCATTCAATAACAAAAAAAAAAAAAAAACAGCTAAGGTTGAATAAAATATGATGCCAACGAACAGCTCATGAAATCAAGAATGGTTAATTCTGTGGTTTTTCATTCAATAACAAAAAAACATACCTGCTGCTTCCAGGATTTCCTGCCATACTTTTCGATACAACGATTCTGATTTTGTTGTCATCAGAATGAAAACTAGCGGAACCGTCTGCTGATGTGAGGGAGCGATACTTCCATGAACAGTGACGAGTTGCCGAAACAAACAAGGAACTGTGGCAAACGTACCATCTGTAACCCAATACTTTGCCTGTCCAAGACGTCGTTCATGAGTTCCAAAAATTAAGGCTCTTTCATTATTGTCACCGAAGTAGATTATGCCTAACGTCCATTATGCCTAACGTCCTTTATGCCCAACGTCCATTATGCCTATCGTACATTATGCCTAACGTCCGTTTTTCTAACGTCCGTATGCCTAACGTCCGTATGCCTAACGTCCGTATGCCTAACGTCCGTATGCCTAACGACCGTATGCCTAACGTCCGTATGCCTAACGACCGTATGCCTAACGTCGTGCACCCCCCACCATCACCATTTATATACCGACGGATCAAAAATGGACGAAGGAGTTGGATGCGGAATACATTCTAACAACGTAAATACATCAATATGTCTCCCCTCACATTTATCCATATTCAGTGCCGAAGCGTATGCAATTATCAAAGCGCTAGAAAACTGCACAACAGGTCTAAATGTAATATTTAGCGACTCAAAAAGCGTACTGGAAGCTGTCGCTAACAACAACTGTAATCACCCATGGATTTTGAAAATCAAATCGATCCTACAAGAAACTCACAGAAACGTTGAACTTTGTTGGGTCCCAGCTCACGTCAACATCACGGGCAACGAGAAAGCAGACGACCTGGCAAAACATGGGGCTATGTTCAAATCCCCAATCGACATTTACACACCATTCTCAAATTTCAAACGAATGGTTGACGAACACCATTTTGGAATGGAGCACCTCATACAATAAAGATTTGCATATCGATTGCTAAATCATAACAAGGCTAAGAATTGGACATACCAAATTAACTCATGGCCACCTTGCAAGAAAAGAAGACCCGGAAATATGTCTATCTTGTGGAATACCAATTACCGTTCAGCATATATTAATCGATTGTCGCCGCTACGACACAGAAAGAAAAACCAATCACCTGGGCTCCTCTTTACATGAAATACTAGGAGACGATGCAAATTCCATAGAAAAAGCAATCAAGTTCTTGAAGGATAGCAAAATCCATACGCTAATATAAACAACCACAATCAACATCGAACCTATGCTGATTCAACACAAAAAGAACGCAACAAAATTCACCACCAAAGAGACCTGTCAGCAAAATGCAATACTTATAAAGCCGACAAATGGCAATCAAGCAACAGTCATATTCAAATCATCCACGGTTCAACTACAGTACAACCATACATCCAGCACTCATACAATGGGAGACACATACAGCAAAGATACCACCCAACACGGTGACCAGGACGTCACCATAATCGAGAATCAAGAAGTCCACACGGGATACCTAGTTGACCACAACTGGAAGCTCTCACTTATCCTCGTCATAGTGTCAATCCAGCTAATCATCAGTAAATATCATCAACATACTAAGGAAACAATGGAAGAAAGCAGCACTCAAAGCTGCCAAATCTGTAGCAGTCCTCAACGTTTAATTTTTTCCTACACTGGTTTTAATGATTCGTAAGATCAACTTCATGAACCTACGCAAAACAAATGTCATGTTCATCAAATGTAAGCTGCAATTCATTTCATCCCCTGCATATGTTTCATACAACCAATGTAATGGCAGTTCTTATAATGGACTGTAGTGAACAAGCAAGTTTTTCCAGAATGTATATTTTCGTACCAAACCTTCTTGAGATGATTAACTAACCGTAGTGCATTTGGCAAAACACACTTTGCTCTAAAATATAACTAACGTAAAAAAATATTTATGAAAGCTTCCGACGACCACATTACAGAATCTGCTCATTCGGTGAAACAATACAAAGTCTGTATACTTTTCATGCAAATCTGTAATAGAATCTTACATTTCCCGGTTGGGTGTAGTATAGTATTTTTCATAGCGATTTGAATACCTTTCTCACAACTTGCACAGCTACAGTATTGAAGATCGCCCAGGAAAGTCTGTTCTGGGGTAGGGTTAGCATCCTACCAACAAAGATTGTGACATTGTGAGACTGACATTTTCACCACCTCAAGAAGTGAATTCCGAACAAGAGGTTGTTTGATGAAGCAAAGACGGCGGTTGGTGGGAGGTTCTCAAAGTAAACGGAAAAGCAAAATTGCCTACCCAAGAATAGTACCCAGCGTTGAAGTCAGACATTTTGGTGCGACTAAATTGAAGGGGAATATAAGTCGATTTCCATGAGTGTATATTTAGTTTGGGGCTGACGATGATGTCTCTGTTCTGTTTCCGATAACTCGATAACGTTTGCACGTTTCTATGCACAGTAAGGCAGCGAAGGAAAATGTAATGCTGTACCATTCTCGAAACCAACTCACATTTCCATCAGTCAGTGTACCATCAAAGCAAACGACGCGAGCATAAAGCTGTTCAAAGAAACGAAATCAGCTTATCACAAACATATGTTGGAAATTCATGTGTCGTGAGCAGAACAAGCACCAACTTCGCTTAGTCGTCAGAGACTCTTAGTTTCTCCAAATTGAATTTTACTCGTAAATCTGTTTTGCGAACAAATTCAATTAAATTTTTCGAATAAATAAACCAACTGCTACTGTTGCACGTCACAACCATTATCTCACCTCACGAAGGAGCCGAATAATCAAGTAAGCACAATGCACAATTTTCACCATCCGCAGCGCTACCGGTGCCTGCACTAGCAGCGGTGTTATAATTTCCGAGAGGATGGAAACAAGTCTCGGAAAACTAATTCAATTTCTATTATTTACACTCACACTAAACACGGTGAACTGCTCTGCTGTCGAGTTTTGCATTAAAATGGAGCAGCAGCAGCAGCACCCACGAAGCAGGAAGCTTTGCCGCTGCTTCCTTCTAATTGTAATTGTTGGAGGATCCGGAAACGCTTCCCTAGCGAGACTTATTTTTCGAGCGTAAGCAGCTAGCTCGCTAGAATCGTGATGTTGGAAGACATTTGCTGAGTTCGTTTGTGGCAAAATCGACATTCAATTTTCTACCTGGGTGAGCTGATAAATGTTGACAGCAGCGAATTACCACCTGTAGTTCGGTTGGAAGACATCCGGAGATTATTCAGGAAGAATCAGGAAGATGTTTAGATTTTTTTTTCGTAGAATGAAGGATATACATATACTTTATACAAACCGACTTTCGATCCGGGGGTGGAGGGCCAAGTGTCATATACCAATCGACTCAGCTCGACGAAATCAGAAAATTTCAAGAAAAGAAGATACCATATGGTGCCATAGAATATTTTTAGAATCGGTCAACTGGTTCCGGAGCAGTTCTGGTTACTGGCTGATTTTTCATACATGCGTCATCTTTGAGGAGATCCCATAATTCTAAATTTCGGAATATACACACAAATTAGCTTTTTTTTTCCTTGGATTTGTTTTCCGTCGATCTTGTTTTCCGTGCTGAGCACCAATGCTACCGACAACAGGAAGGCAGCTCCCACACCTGGACCCTACCTATCGACCCATCAACTCATGAACCTTGCAGTGGTGGTTTGTTAGCAGGCGTCGTAGCGGCACGGAAGATCGCTGCAGCCTAGGTGAGAAAAAAGAGCAATGTGGAAGAAGACTGCTGCTTTCAGCAGTACCGCCTCCAAAAATCCTCATACCTGCTCCATTTATCGATCGGAAGCCATCGGTGTACCGGTGTACGTGGTCGGCATAGTTAGACCCAAGTAACTCGGTGACCGATCTGCGCAGAATCACGGATGCATCCCCTGCTTTGAAGCGGTTCTTGATCCGGTTGTCCAATTGGATTCGTGAAGAGTGACAACTTTTCTCTCCATGTCAATGGACTTTCGTCACTGGGGGGAGGTCGATGTCGGCGGCCGTGCGGAGGACTCTGTTCCCCTCGTCGAGGAGAAAGATCTTATTGTTTCCGGAGGTCTTGGCGGAAAAGGCGGTGGCTTTTGTGGCAATATTTGCGTTTAAGCAGAACCGGAAAGGAAGAATACCTGCATCGATGCATGCGGCGTCTGCTGAAGTGGATGGCAGGAGGCCAGATATGATGCGGATGTAGCTATTGTGGACTGGAATTCGGTTCAGGTGTGTTCAATGTATGTTCTAATGATAATCTTTTAACACTTTAAACAACCTGAGATGATTTCTGGAATTTAAATGTGTTATGTTAATTAAATACATTTTAAGCGTTTTTCGGATACAACTTAACTTTTAATACTGCTTAGTATAAACCTAATAGCACTTCAAAATACCTCTGATGACCTGTATTTTACATTTGTACATTTTAATATGTTTAATTTGAAATAAATATTTCTCAAAAATACAATAAGCTCGAACACATTTCAACTTATGCTTAAATAGTTATTCTTCCAAAGCACAGGTTGCTTTAATCTTGTAAATAAATACGGTATTTTGGGCATTGAATTGGCAAACAGCGCCCAGTCCAATCTCTGTCTCACGTAAATCAATATACCCCTCAATAACGCCTAAAATATGAGACGCCCCTATTAGTTCGATGCCCCCTTCCTAATGAAGAGGTTTCTACACGCCTATGATAACCACCATGACAGGCCTGTCGGAGATATGGTCGGATCATGGTCCGTTTCGTATGGGCCATTAGACTAAATTCGATCTGCAACGAATATAACCCATCATGTATTTAAAAACTAGTTCAATTGATCATTTTGTCAAGCTTCTGCATTCATGTTCCATCAGATGTCACAGCTGTTGTTTGCGGTGACATCTATCGGAAAGTAGACACAATCTGTTTTCCTATAATTGTTCACAGAGGACACTGCAGTGCAAAACATGTCTGGTACCTCTATATATGCATTTAGATTAATATTCGAAGTCCCTCCTTTTTATCACATTCTGCACACAAAATAGCTCACCCCTCACAGAATTTCCCGCCGAATTTTATGTATGGGGCGGGGCATAAAGTATGTCTTGCGCAGCATATGTAAAAAAGGAGGGACTTCAAATGTTAAAGCACAAATGCATATATAGAGGTACCAGACATGTTTTGTAGTGTCAGGTACTCTATTTTGTAATCTGTGAAAGAGTAATCACAAATCGAGTGTCAACAAAATACATGGCATGTTCAGAGATTGAGGTCGTGAGAGCAAATTTTCTCTCTTAAATTTGAATTTTTTGGCTCTCTGGGAACTGGTAGTAAAGCAGGTAATGGGGAAAAATCATTTTTAATTAATTGTAGCTTGTTTAACAATAATTTCCTGGAAAAAACTGAACGACAAAGTCTCTGATTAATTTCTTTAGGTTGTCGTTCACTTTTTTTGACCTGAATATGCACCGAAAGCGAATTATTCCCACTTCTCCCAATTTCTATATGGGGATTTCTATCACTTCCTACCAGCGGAACAGCGCCATCTTTGTGGAAAATGGTCGAACAAAACGATTAATTGTAGTCATTTGTAGTGCCCAGAACCACAATAGCACCATACGGAACATCACCTCACATCATATGAGCACTTTTGTCGGAATTTCTACTAGTAATCAGGGTCAGATCTCACCATAGAAGTATTAATTCAGGTTTTTATCTCAAAGATACTCCATGGGTAACTGTACTATGCTTTACACACTAGTTCCACTGGAGGCAGGATAGCTATTTTAATTAAATGGTGACTGAAATGTGTTAAATGTTTCACTAAATTAAATATCTGCTGACATGAGCCTGATGCAGAATCACATCCACCAGACAGGATACAGCTACCAGAGAAGGGAAATGTATTACCCAAAGTACCTCATAAAAGCTAACGTTAATGTCAGTTCCAGTTGACGCACGGCAGTACCACACGTTACCACCATAGTGGAAATTAACCTAGACTTTTACGACGACGACGACGACGAGTACAGCACTCCATCTCCGTCGTGACTACCGGGTTGCTTCTGTCGCTTGGCTAGTTCAGTGTGTCGTCATTAATCCGTCCTCCGCGTGTTTCAAATCCTAATTAATGGCTGCAAAATTTGAAGTGCGTCATGTAAAATGGATTTAAATGGCTTACAAGTGCTCGTCAGTCCGGATCTCACCGTATATGTAATTACCCCGCAGCCAACCATGAATGTGTATCGTTTTAACTCTATCCAAAAGAGAGTAAATCTGTCAAACTCGAACTAATTTGAATATTTTCCCACTTATCGTTTCAGGTATGATTGTATGTGTGTGCAACCGAGCGTCATCTTATCACAGCTGTATCGGTCCATCCCACTGTGCTTCGCCGCTGCTGCCGTCTTGTTGTTGGCAATTTAAAATAATAACACCCAGGCGATATCAATCTCGATTCTCCGATCGGGAGAAGCTTGCCCACCGCCCCAAGGGGCATGCTCAGGTAATGGAGTGTGTAATGGTGCTTGATTGCATCCAAACGCTCTCAATTCACATCCCGAGGGCTATGACAAAAAAAAAACACGAGCGACGAGATGCTCGTTGAGCTGGAAAGCAAAAACTATCTTGCCCGGTCATCGATTTTCGAGTGGTTTTCTTTTTTCGGCATCGATTTTCTTTGACGAGCGAGTGATAAAAATTGCTTTTGATCGATCAACATTTCTGATCGGAAAGTTGCCGCCGACCGTCGGCATTGTCATTATCGTTAAAAACAATCGAGAGCCGGTGTCATTACAGCAATCGATCCATCGATCGAAGCCTTCGAAGATTTTCTGGGATGACTTGTAGGGTGGGTGATCTGGTAGTTGAGCGACTGAGACAGTTTATTTATATAAAAAAATGTAACTGTTTATCATTCAAAATGTTATATGTCAATCGATAGCTTGCCAAACAGTTTATTTTTCTGGAAAAAATTAATTTTTATTTAATTCTAAACATTTAAGTTATTAAATTCTAAACATTTTTGAAAAAACTCACTCTGCATTAATAGGAACACTATTTCAGTAGTTGTGGTCGATGCTAACTTTGGTTTCTACATTAAAAGAACGCAATGGTTTCTTAAGGGTTCCACTCAGAGCTGGTATATGTACATTTTTAGATATCACCCTTAAATTGAATGGAAGAAACAAATGTCACGGCATTTTTTCCCATTACATTTTCATGACATTTACCACCTTCACTGTTATAGAAATGCTCCTTCAACGATGCAATGGAATCAAAATCATAAGAAACCTTTTTTCCAACATATTTGGGCTATTTTAAAAACTCGAAAATGCAGATTTACCACCGGCAAATAATCAAAACACTTGCAAACTGTTCATCGAACTCACATTTCCCGACAATTTAAATGTTTCTTAGTTGGCAGTATCGCCACATGTGGCGCACATAGTCAATTCCCTTGCATTTGAAGTTTACGCACTATCTCCATCTTTTGAGCGTACTTTTAATCACAGGCTACTCAACAGATGGTGGTAGTATTTTAGCGACAATGTTTAGTGAGAACTATTCAATGTGTTATGTCTGTTTGTCTGCGGATCTTTTTTACTTTAGGAGAGTTGCCGGCGAAAAATA